GAACCCATGATAGAATTTTTTGAATCCATGATCGAATGTTTTGTAATACATGATCGAAATGTTTGTTTTTTTTTGTAATCCATGATCGAAATGTTTGTTTTTTTTTTGAATCCATGATTGAATTTTTTGTTTTTTGCTTTTTTTGTAACCCATGATAGAGTTTTTTGTAATCCATGATTGAATTTTTTGTAATCCATGATCGAATTGTTTTTTTCTTTTTTTGTAATCCACGATTGAATTTTCGTTTTTTTTTGTATGTTTTTTTTTGTAATCCATGATCGAATTTTATGTAATCCATGATCGAATTTTATGTAATCTATGATTGAATTTTTTGAAAATTTCTGATTTTTTTTTTTAATCCATGATCGAATTTTTTTTTGTAATCCATGATAGAATTTTTTGAAAATTTGTGATTTTTTTTTTAATCCATGATCGATTTTTTTGAAAATTTGTTTTTTTTTTTTTAATCCATATTATTCAAAGAGAAAATGAGAGAGATGATGATTCTGAAGCCACCCTATCCCAACCATATTATTCACATATCGAGTCCCAACAGCAACAGTGTAGGGATGAATACGAAATACTGTAAATTAAATGCTGAATGGTGGTTCATGCAGGGAAAGAACATATCAATATTCGCATATTCATTCAAAAACATGAAAATTCTTAATGGAGTACCATCATTTTTTATTGAATTCCTAAAAAATAATATTTATAATGAATTTTAATAATTTTTTCGAATTTTTTTTAAGTTTTATTCTGACCGATACACCCGATTCCCGATCCGGATCGCCGATTCACCGATCCGGATCGATTTTTTGGAAACCCGATCTAAGTCACCGATCCGTTTTTTAAACCATTTATTTCAACCCCATGTAACCAGAATCAAATCATAACCCACTCAAAGCTCATAAACTTGTCGACCCTGAGTTTCTGCTAGAGAGAGTAACAAATGGGCAAGTTTTGCTTTCTAAGCCTAACCCATCTCTGCAACGGATTCCATTAGGCCAGAGATTCTGTTTTCTTAACATACCATCTATCTTAACCGAATCTTCTATAATGGAGTTCTCGCGTTCATCTTCATTGCAATTGATTCTTTCTCTTTGTTGTATTCTCCTTTCATTTCTGGTTTTTAGATCCCAAGCTCAAGCAACACTCGACCCAAATGAAGGTGTGCATCCAAACTACATGCGCATGACTGATCATGAAATGAACAGTAGATAAAATCATACACTAACGCATTTATTTTTAAGTTTAACAGACACTCATATTGATAAATTGGGATAACTTCATTTTCTAGAGAGAGAATTGTGGTTTTGTATGGATTTTTTTGCTAGAACTTAAGTCAACCAGAAAGATTAGAATAGTGATTTCTTTATTTGTGGTTTAATTAACTGGTTATCTGACCTGTTTCTTTTGAATACGCAGCCATGGCTCTGAGATCATTGTCAGAAAAATGGGGTATTTCTTCTTCAGCTAGCTGGAATATCAGTGGTGAACCTTGCAGTGGAACCGCCATTGATACTTCACAGATCGAAGACAACAACCCTGCAATTAAGTGCTCTTGCACTAGCACTACTTGCCATATTACACACATGTATTACTCTAATCCTTTTTCATCTTTTCTTTTGAATTATTTGGGGTATAGTTTAGTTTAGTTTAATCAGTTAAGGCACTGATCTAGAAAAAAAAAAAAAACAAAAGGTTCTGAACTTCTCACTGTAAAATCTAGTTTTATTGATTTAAGGATTTAAACGTCTCACTCTAGAATTTTGTTTCGCGCTATGAGGTTCGAGATTCTCACATATGTTTCGGCTGATGCAGGAGAGTCTATGCCATGAGTGTTACTGGAAGCTTTCCGGAAGAGATTGGGAATCTGACTTCCCTAACAAATTTGTATGATTTTTCATCACTGCGTAATTAGATTCGTGGAATTGTAGTATGAGATTGATAATACGTTTCCACAATTAATGTTTTTTCGAAAGAAAATGATACCTTGGGCCCCCTAGCTATTGTTGGGCTCACCTATTCGTGCCCTCTCGCACGGGTGCGAGGATTGTTGCCATATAAAATACACCAAATCCCATATTTACATATAATAAAGCAATATTTATTATATTTACATAAAATAAAAATAATTTATTTCCATTGAGATTTATGCTATTCATCTTTTTAAGCTACGTCCACGAGATAAAGATACAGATCTAGAATTAAAATAATGATTACAATATTTTTCTAATAAACAAGCTATTTTGAACTATATGATTTCTTCTAAAGGATTTTCTCTCTCCTAAGTTTGTCTATAGTTCTTCTCTCTCTTAAGTTTCTCTCCTTAAAAAGCACGATAAACCCACATAAACACACTCTCTTATTCTTATCTCTCTAAAAGGACTTGTATCTCTCTCTTCCTCTTCTCTTTTAAAAAAAGGTTCTATGTATCTCCAAGACATCGCATTATTTCTCTTGTCCTCTTATCTTCTCTTTCATAGATCATTGTATCTCTCTCCTCCTCTTTTCTTTCCAAAGAAAAATGTCCTCTTTATCTCTCATGCATGAAAAAGGTACCCTAAATAAGAGGTTTTTGCTAAAATATTGGGGAGAAACAAAACTAATATTTGGTGATACTTTTTTTTATATGGGATGAGATTTTATTTTTTCAAAATCTTTTTATCTTCTCTTTTATAGATCATTGTATCTCTCTCTTCCTCTTTTTTTCCAAAAAAAATGTTCTCTTTATCTCTCATGCATGAAAAGAGGTACCCCAAATAAGAGGTTTTTGCTAAAATATTGGGGGGAAACAAAACTAATATTTGGTAATGCATTTTTTTTTTATATGGGATGAGATTTTGTTTTTCCAAAATCTTAGTTGTTATCATATTTTATGTGATAAGATATCCCTATCGTAGATAAAAAAACATTTTATAACAATTAAATCTGGTTATTTACTCATAACAACCTAATGGGTTGTGATCACTCAATAGCCCATTATCACCAGTACCCTTCCTAAGGGAACATGACACCTAAAAGCTATGTGATATGTATGTTTAGGAAACTCCTATATTTTTTGTTTAATTTGATGATCTGTTACTATGTTTTTCTTTGTGATTCAAATCTGGTTATGTCTTTTGAATTAATCAAGTATCGATCACTGTCATTTATATTCTATGATTATCTACAAAGAGACCATTTACCTTTTATACAAGGGGGTCACAATCATTCTTTATCTCTTAGATTTCAAAATGGGTGACAGTAAGAATGTCATTAATTAAATACAGTTCAAAAAGAAAATTCAAACTTTATGATTCACCAAGCCCCAATTGAATATCTATTAGTATGAGTAGTTGCGATTAGACACAAAATTCACAAAATAATTTCTTGGATCTCGTGACTCAACCAAGCCATCTAATTTGACATCTAATGAGTGGAAATAGATGAACTTCTTTGTACAAAAAATAAATAGTCTCTTTATAAATAATCATTTATATTCTGCCTGTGTGACCTCTCTATGTCCTCTTTCTCTCTCTCTCAGGAACCTCGCTCAAAACTATCTAACCGGCCATTTACCAACATTTATTGGAAATCTTACCTCTATGCAATACTTGTGAGTATTTATTTCTCTGGAAAGTTTTGGTTCAAAGGATGAGGTCTTTTATTTCAAATATACTTTTCTAATTACCATACACGTCCTCTTCTTTTGGATGACAATAGCACCGTGGGTATCAACATGCTATCTGGAACTGTTCCGAAGGAGCTTGGCAATTTCCTAGATATACGCTCACTGTATGTCTTCTCCCTTCAATTTGTAGATTTTGTTTTCATCAAGGTATAACAAAATAATCCCGGATCGGCCATTCCAAATACCGTGTCGAATCGGAAAATCGATCGGATTAGTTGGTTTCGGCCCCAAAAAATTTTAAAAATCACTATGATTTCTCAAAATTCTAATTTTTTTAAGTTTCTAAAGAAAATAGTAGCAATTGCAAATAGTTTTTCTTTATAATATCAAAAATATGTACATCCTGGAACCTATTTCATGTATGAGTATTGAATTCATTTGATAGTTAACATGAAGTTTAAAATATAACTCATGGCAATAAATGGATCTCTCACACTCTTTGTATTTTGTTTTTGTATTAACATAGGAATTTTGGTTTTTGAAATAAACTATATGGAATAAATTTAGTAGTGAAAGAGAAACCAAAGAGAGAGATATAAGTTGTTAGTATAAAAAGAGAGAGATTTCAATAATAAGATTTTTTTCCCCAAAAAAGTTGGAAATTTGAAGAAGTTTTAAACCTCTTTCAACATTTACATATAAATATAAATGATAGATTTTGTAATTTAGTATTTGCAATTTTCAATATCATTTCCCATGTAATCCCTTGAGTGGTAGAATGGTAACCTTCATTTGCTTCATTGGCTAAGAAGCAATTGGTAATACACGAGCGAGTTGGAAAGAAGAAGAAACCGTATGACATTATTAATAAGAAAAAAAAAAAAAACCACAATGGGGATTCAAAGAAGAAAAATGCTTTATAAAACGTTTAGCCATCGTACGAATTGGTGGGTTGTGCTCACACGGCATTGGGACTTGCGTGTTGGATTGGGTGATGTAGTATGTATACGAATTCCCATAAAACTTGGTGGAGTTGCCACGATTCTTCTTAAAAAAAGCTTTAGAAATTGCACAATTTCCAACAAAATTAAAAAACCCTCTAACACTATGTGGCGCCCTACTATGAGTCTGTTTTGGTCCGATAGAACCGATTGACTACTAACAGAACCGAGCAGTTCTGTCAAAGAGCTAGTCTAGACCGGCCAGCTCAAAGTAAAAACGGCAAGATATTACGAAATCTAGAAGGGCTAAAATGATTCCCGATCTATATTCCAATCCAAATCGCCAAATTTTCAAACACTAAGTTTTCATCATTGATTTCAATGAATATGGAAATCCTCCTTGCAGCATAGCACCCATAAGCACATAACTATAAAAAAAAAAGTGTTTTTCCCAAGAGGTCTAGCCATTAAGATATTGTTTATTTTAGATGATATTAACTCATTAAATTCAATATTATATACATAAATAAAGTTAGATATTTCTTGAGAATTTCACATTCTTATTAAGTGGGGGTCAGAGCATCCGACTTATAGCAATATTGTGTGTATGATTGTAACACATGAGGGGCTTTTCACAATTTTCTCTTTTGATGATAATCCCTTGTATTAGTAAACAAATTACATTGCATCTTCTGGGCCTTATTCAAATTATTTAGAGTCGGCTACACAAATCATTCAGACAATAAGTCACAATATCTCTTCTCACTACTTGCATCCACGTTTGTTAAGATATAACCTAACATTTTAATTCCAAAGACCTACAATGATACCTCCCAATACTAATATGCTTAATGGACCCATTTCGTTCCGACAAGATGCCTCTTTTGAGAAAGTTGATATTTAAAATTTTCTAAAAATTAAAATTGAATATTTCTTGAATTTAATATCCATGTGTATGTTAAAATCGAAAATGCAGTATCCTCTATCTAAATCTCTCTATTGAGAACTGCCGGCGATCTAGGAAATAGTAGAAAACATATCCACAACATTAAGGCCACAAGCCAATATGGGGATAGAGAAAACATGCCAAGCAAGAAGTGAAAAAAAATGCATAACTATTTTGGATGGTGTTTGAAAAAAATGCATAACTATTCATTTTTCGCAATATGATAAATTATATAACTTTCCTTACAAACAAATGCTTCATATTTCAATTTTAATTCCATTTTAAATTCTTTATTGTTTATGAGATTTGAGAGGTCATCGACATAGTCGGTAAGTCTCCATTTAAAACATGATTTTGTCAAAAAATCTCCAATTTTTTGAAAAAACTCCAAGTTTTTCAAAAGTTATTCAAAAAAGCTTTCTTTTTTTTAATGGAACCAATATAAATCTGTATTTATCTTTTTTCAAAAAAAAATTCAAAAAACCTTCTTCCCTATAACTTTATTTCTTTTTTAACTTATCATTATTAATTTTGGTTTAAAGATAAGTACATTAACAATGTGAGTAAATTAAGAGTCTTGATTTAACAAAAAAAATCATCAAAATTTTTTCCATTGAGTTCCCTTAAAAAAGTGTACAAAAAAATACAAGCAAAACATTTTTTTTAAAACAAAGTAATCAAAACAATCCTATGTATCCAAATAATAGATAGAATTAGAAGAAGAGTAACCCAATAAAAAATCTTTTTTATTTGTTTTTAAACCCGTAGCATCCATATAAAGAGCAAGAGAGAGATTCGATGATACTAAATATTTAGATAGCTAAGAATTTAGTGCGAGATTCGATTTTGCTTAAGCATTTTGTTGCTTGTTTTATGTATCGAGAAGTTTGATCAATTTCATGTTTTATTTTTATTTCATTGGTGTATGCAACATAGTATTATGGATGGACCATTATTTTATATATTTGGTTCTTTCTGTTTTCCTTTTAACCCTATATTGAGGGCGTTTTTTGTTTCTTTTATTGGAAAAATAATTTTATACCTTGGTTCAAAGTACATGTTATTTGCTAATTAGTTTTTCTGTTTAGTATTGTTGTTATTTTATTTTATGCTTCCAATAAATCTATAATATGTTTGTGTTGTGACAACATAGTAAGCGTTGTTGCTAGATTTATTGAAAGTTCAACAAAAAATTGTGAAGTATTACTCTGATGACACTAGTGAGGCTACAAATGATTGTTTAATGGCTTTAATGTATTTATACAATAGCTACAAATCATAATCCTATATTGTGTTTTTACATATCCGCTTTTTTCACTACATTTTTTTTAACCAAATCTGAAATATTCATGACTCTATAACTCACCTTATTTTTTGGCGATCCATATTTTAGCCAATTTTTTCCTCCGATTTTTTTAAATGAAACTGATTTAGTACCCATGTTTTGGTCTGCCAATATTTTATTATTCTCCGACTTGCTGACTATGGTTATCGATGTTGTATATAGGAACCAATTTAGTGGAGAGGATTTTTATCTGATCCAGGATATCACTGTGTGCACACACGCACATACACATTTACATGATCTACAATTTGTTGTTCTTTTTGTTATATGTTATTTGAATGGATTAGACACATTATTTGGATGTTTCTCATTCGGAATGCATTAATTGGACAACCATCTCACTGTATATTTATTGGATTTTGTTAGGATACTTCTGTACATAGAGTATATAGTTAATGTACTCATGACCGACATGATGTGTGATATCATCTAAGTATTAATTGTTTTTTAATCATTAATAGAATGTCATTAATTTTTTATAAAAATATCCATTTTATCTAATGCCCTTACTTGAAAAATTTTATTCTACAAATTAAAAGTATCTAAATGTTAAAAAATATTAAGTACATTAAGTATATACTCTATGTGTAGAAGTAGCCTAACAAAATCATGTGACTATGTTTTGAATGAGTGTGTTGAGTTATTCCAACTGGTAAAACTTTTGAAGCATGAGCAATACGCTTAAAGCTGCAGGGGTGTGGTTTGTATAAAGTTGCAACCAAATAATCAAATTTAGGTGCACTTCCAAATTTTATTATAACTATAATTATGGTGTCAAAAATTCTTCAATATATTTTTATCTTTAATTATAAAATTTTAAACTCAAAAAATAGTTCAAATCAAGTAGATCTATAAACACTTTAAAATATTGAAAATTGACCGTCTAGATAATGTGCTGCAATATACACTATTTTTAGGATTTGAAATCATATGCATACGTCTTGATGTCGAGATGATCAATTTGAGGGTTTTCCAATATCAAAAAAACCTTTTATAATGGAGTTTTGATGTGGACCTTAGTTCTACATTTTAAGGTGCCAACCGGTGTTTACAAAATTAGGTGGTTCAAATCGGAATCACTCGGTTCGAACGGAACCTGTCACTAGCCGATTCTGGTTTTGATTAGTTTTGGTGATCAAATAAGGGATTTGTTTGTAATGCGCTTTTGAATGTTGTTCATAATTTTGGCTCAAAGTGGTTTGGCTATTAATACTTATTTTTATATTTTTCTATTTTTTTCAAAAAATTTGAAAACATCTCTGAGCACAAATCAATTTTTTAAAATCTTTTTTTTTTGGAATTGGAAAAAATTTATATAAGGTTGCAACCTTAAAATGTAGAATTACAAATGCACCTAAAAAATCCATCAGAAATATTTGCTTTAATGTTGAAAAAACATCTAATTGATCATCTGACATCGAGACGTATGAATATGAAAAAGAAAAAAAAGATTTTGAGTCCCAGAAATAGTGCATCTAGCAATACATTATCTAATCCGTCCATTTTCAATACTTTCATATATGTATAGATCTACTTGATTTTAACTATTTTTGGAGTTTATAATTAGATATGAAAATAGATTTTGAGATAATCCTAAGAATTATTTTATCAAAATTACACGTTATAATAAATTTTGGAGGCATGCCTTAATTGGATTGTACAAGGTTGCAACTTTTTATAAAAACCAACACATTTTTTAAATACTTTTTTTTCGCTAATTTTAATTTTATTTGGGTGTATTTTGTTTAATCATGCTTTGAATATACTATTTATATTTTAATTTTTATTTTTTTATTTTTTTAACACTTTTTTACCGGGTTACCGGTCTCGGACTTGCCTTGATAGGCCGGTTGACCGTTGGCGGGTTTCCAAAGGCGAGTCGATTTTTCAAACACTCGTTGCAACCTTAAGTAAACTTTTTTTCCTTATTTGAATCGCTAACAGGCTACTGAAACTACTCTGTCTCTCTCTCTCGCACACACACTTAATGGAAGAGTTAAATTCTAAATCCTAGGGTTTCAAATTTCCAGGATCTTTCTTGTTTCATTAACATGCAGTTTTTGTATTATTAAATAGGAAAGAGCAAGCATAGGGAATTGCTCAGATTTTTCTACTCAGATTTTTCTTTCTTCAAAACATGAATCAATTTTCAGCGTGCATTGAGACTCAGTTGACCGTCTAAACTTTTTTTCCCTTTCGATTGAGTTTTCAGGAGTTTTAGTTCAAATAACTTCTCGGGCGAGCTACCTCCTGAGCTCGGTGATTTGGTTACTCTAGAACAACTGTAAGTTTTCATATGCATCATGTATTAAAACAAATGTTCATTTACTTTTCCCTGTCAAAAAGATTAACTGTGTTTATATGGCAGCTACATTATTAGCGCAGGTGTAAGTGGTGAGATTCCTTCAACATTTTCCCAATTGAAAAATCTGCGTACTTTGTAAGAGCTTCTGATTTTTTGCATCAAATTTTTATGATGAATAATATCCATTGTTACATATTGTACTCAACTGGAATATTGTTCTGGTTTTAGGTGGGCATCAGACAATGGTTTCACTGGGAAGATGCCTGACTTCATTGGAAATTGGACAAAACTCGAAACATTGTATGTTTATGATCTTAACCTTTATGTGTTAATGTTTCATTGAGGGAATTATTTTAGCTCTTACTCAATTTGTTATAGTAATCAATTTGAGGATTAAGTTTATACTTTGCATTTTTTTCTTTTAATATATGCACTTTGGTTGAGCGTTATATTGCGATTATCTTAAACAGATGAGTTCACTCAAGTAAAGATGGGAGATAGGAAAAAGTTATAGAAGCTGAACACAGCTAACATAATTTGGAAATGGTGGCTGTACTCTCATTTTTACTTGCACTAACTAAAGATGGTTTTTCTGATTAGAGTTGTTTTATCCGTTATCATGACAATTACCATAGATATTACTCTTTTGACCTATTATGCAATAGTAACTATTGTTTTGATGGTTATTTTTCTTGGAGGTTCATTAATTATATTGCTTTTCTTAAAAATTTCTTGCACAGTACGATATTTGCAAGCATTATGTCAGTATTATAAGTGGTTCAGTACACTACACTGGAAGTTGTTAGATTTTGCAATTAACGCAATCACCTAATGTTTTGCCTCTTAATATATATTGTTTATCAGAGAAACCCAATTCAAGGATCATCATCATCGAAGCCTTCTCCCAGCAAAACCTAATTTAAGGATGATTATACTTTTTCTTTTGGATAAATAATGTTCCATTTACTTTGTTGTAAAAGTTTAGAAGCCATGGGTAGGAATCTCATAATTAATGGATATTGTTAAATTTAATTCAATCGAAATAGTGCTTTCCAGACTTTCTAATCATTGACATGTGTTGGTGTAGGAGGCTTCAAGGAAATTCTTTTCAAGGTCCAATACCTTCAAGTTTTGACAGCCTAACCACATTGAGGGATCTGTGCGTACTTTCACTTAATTTTCACGTAATGTTTGTTTCTGTTTTAGTTCCCTTGTGAATTTCTAAAGGTTATTGAGTTCTTTTATAGATTGTTCTTTGTATTTGTTCAGGAGAATAAGTGAATTGTCTAATGGGACATCATCCTTGGATTTCATAAAGAATATGAAGAATTTAACTACCCTGTAAGCTAGAGCAGTGTCCTTAACTATCGTATGCTATCAGTAGATTTTGTCGTTAGATTTTGTTTTACAGTCTTTCAACTATGTATTCCAATGTATTTCTTGTCTACCGCAGGGTATTGAGGAATAATATGATCTCTGGTATGATTCCATCTGATATTGGGGGCCATGCTCAGTTAGCTCACTTGTAAGTTGGTCCCTGGTTTAAGCTTCACATGAGCATTTGAAAAAATTTCTAAGTGTTCCTTTGCACAATTATTTGGAAAGTCATATTTTACCATAGATTGACTTTGCATTATCAACCTGTTATTGCTTCTTGAGGGGGTATAATTTTTAGTATTAACAGCGTTATACAAGTTTTGAGTGAAGATAGTTATGGTGACGAAATAATATTATAGTGTCCACTACAGGGTGAATTTTTTAACCTGTTAACAGTTTCACAAAATTTATACAGCATATGATGAAGAAAGCCAAAAATGAAGGATTCAAATCAAGGGTGATGTAAAATAATAGAGTGAAAGAAAAAGTAATGCTCTAATATAAAATACATGTCACTTTGGTGGACCACTCTTAGGCACTAATCCACTCCTTCCATGGCTATGCCTCTCCTTATGCTTGCAACTCTATAGATCTGCTCTAGCAACATAGTAAAGATATGGACACAACAAACTTGGTACTTTATTTGTGAACTAATCGAAATTTTTATCTAGATGATAAAACTGATGTATAGGTTATGGAAAAAAGTTCAGATCTCATTAGAATATACTGCATTAGAATATTGAAACTTGGCCAAAAAAGAAAATCTTTCATCGTTCTTCTTTAACTTTGATATTGGGTATGTTTGGGCTTATATCTTGTTTGTTGTACATTTAAGCAAAGCAATTCTTCTGTTGAGAATTCTTAATTTGTGTCTATTTCACTGGCCTCCCCCAACATGTTAAGCAATGAACTACTATTACTTGACTAGTCTTGCAAACTCTATCTGGTCAAAGGTTTCCTTTCTTTTGTTTAAGTGTCTTCAGTTGATGTTTCTTTATGTGATGGGTATGAGTAACTTACGTTAGGTGTACATCTTTTGTTAGAGGTAGGCACTATAAGAGTGTGTGCTATTTGGAGTAGTGGTGTAAATTAAATATAATGTAACTGGAAATTCCAGACTTGTTCATGTACTAACTTTCCAGCATCCTTTCCCTTGAAACAAAGGAAACTATCAATAAAAGAAATTGATTTCATCAGATAATAACAATAAAAGAAAGAATGATTTCATCAAATAATAACTAAAACTTGGCTGTCTTGTCCTCACAAATGTTTAATATATAACTTGCATTAGATGGACTAATGAGCACTTCTGCATCCAATTCACTCCTTTGGACCCATAAGAATGACTTTGCCATGTAATGTTTTTTACTTTCTAAATTATTGGGTTTTCTTTTGCTCAAGGCATCCTGAAGTTTAATCTGGCTTTTATGTTTCTAACAGTAAGTTTAATTTGTTATCAGGGATTTGAGCTTCAATAGCCTGACTGGTGAAATTCCAAGCTCTCTTTTTAATATGAGTTCTCTTTCCTTCTTGTAAGGCAACCAAACCATGATTGTCAATCTTTGTGATTTACATGCTATGTTTTGCCACTGACATCTATTTAATGGCTCCGATCCTCTCTCATGTCTCATTTGGCAGACTTTTGGGAAACAATAACTTGTCTGGAAGTCTTCCTCAGCAAAAAAGCTCATCTCTTTCTAATATGTATGATTTCGTGAACCACTTTGGGCCCCTTTTCCTGTTCCCCTTAGTTGCCTGTTTTTATATAAGAATAATGGATGATAGTAATGTTAAAAGTTGCCAACTTTAAGTAACATTTCTCAATTAACCTTTGCTTGGATTGAATGAACTGATGCCAAGCGAACAGAGGATCTGTGTTGTAGTCAATGCATTTTGTTGCTTAGCATGCAGGTTGTTAAGACATGGGAGAGTATGCAATATCTAATGGACTGTGGGCAATCATAGTCCTCTGTGCATCATTTATTGAGTGATGGAGAGAGTTGGGACCCACCATTGGGTTCATGATTTCATGTCTTGCTGTGATCTGGTCCCACTCTTTTCCATGGAAGCTCATTATTCCAGTGGACATTCATAATTCAATCCTCTATGGTTTTTCATTGTATATAAAATTATGAATGTATACAACATGCAAACAGTAACTGGGATGTCACAATACTGCCCTCGGGATACCTCTTATGTTATTTCTTTGATAAGCTATTATCTAGATCTGATCTTTTGAGAAACACTATTTACTGCTACTTATTCTCCTTTGTTTTTTATCATTGCAGAGATTTATCTTACAATCAATTAACCGGAAGCTTTCCTTCATGGATGAATGTTCAAAATTTAACAATGTAGGTCAAGAAAGAGATCTCAACTGACTCCAGTTCATGCCCCATTTTTAGTTTGCTTTTGACATTGATTGACATAAATATCTCTCTAATGTTTCTGCCTGCGGTGGATTTGCCTGACTTTGTAGTCGAATTTCATTGCACATTTATACTACCTGTTTGTAGTATATTTTATACTAAAACTTGTATGTCTCTGCAGGAATTTGGTTGGGAACTCCTTTGTAATTGGAAATTCCAACAACAGGTACTCAAACTTAGTGTGTGTCTTAATTGTTAAACTATCACTAGAAAAGAAAGAAAAGTGCCAGTAATCTGTATTCTTTGACACTTGATAATGAAATCACAGCAAACATTTTAAACAAGTATTAATCAAGGTATACTTTTTAGCTTGCTAGAATTTAGTTCCAAAAATAAGGCCATTTCCTCATAAGGTCATTTCCATTTATCTACACACAGAATGAAAAAATAAACTAATGACACCAAGTGCATGTGTTTTCCTTGTTATTGATTGGCTGTTCATCATGCATATTTCTTTTGGTTCAGTCTTGCTCCTGCAGGTTTGCATTGTCTTCAACGGACCTTCCCATGCAATCGAAATGCTCCACGTTGTGAGTTGTTTTCCTTTATCCTTTTTTGATGTGACTGCGTCTTGTAGAAATCTACAGTGAGAAAGCTTTTGTTCTAGTCTTCCAAGACAGGATTACTGTTATTGTCTTTCTGGCATGCATAAAGGGATTCAGCATGGCAGCCCAAAATTGCTAACACGGTGAAAAGCCTGTTCACTAAAGCCGGTGCAAAAATTAATATTATGTATATCATCATCAGAGCCTTTTCCCAACTGTATATATGTTTTTATTACTTACCCCCTACTAACAAATAACATTTAAAGAATCGTGATTCAAGTTTTCAATTGTCATTTTATATTCTTCATATATTTTGGCTCCTACATGTGTGCTCCTATAGACCATAATTTCCAGAAAATCCCATGACGTGCCAGCATGTCCATAGCATCAGTAGAAATTTTCAATGCTCTGTAATAAATATGATCATGCCCACCACCTAAAATAGTCTTAAAACTCTAAGCTGCTCTGTAAAGCAATCGTATTTATTGTCCCTTAAGATCACATCCTTATGAGAGAGAGAGAGAGAGAGAGAGAGAGCGAGAGAGAGAGAGAGAGCGAGAGAGAGAGAGAGAGAGAGTAGT